GGTGGGGGGGTGGGGGAAGGTTGGCAGGGGAGCTGTTACAACAGCACAGACTGGCAGCAGAAGGGGCACAGCGCTTGTCAGAGGAGCTGCCTTTCACGTTGTCCATCCTGGAGCTGCTGATCTGCCAGCCCTAGGTGGTCAGATGCTCGTGGTGATGGGACGCTGTGATTGTATGAGATGCGCAGCACAGCCGTGAAGTTGCTTTGATGGTGCAACACTGCACGAGAGCTGTGTTTTCTGGTGGGTGTGGGGGAGCTGAGCAACACCTCCTCCCTCACACCTGCATAGAGGTATAGTATGTAAAGAGGTGTGGTACGGTTTGTCACAGGGGAAACACGGTCGTTTCAGCAGAGGAAGCAAAAGCTTTGCATGCTGTTGGTGCCACATACATAGTAACAGCCGGCTTGTTTTGCTCGCAGAGTCCTTTGGAGAGGAAATGGGATTGGCATGGTTGAGTTGGGTTGGTGTTCTTTGTGTGCGTGGGGTAAACGGCATGGAAACTTGAGAGGGGAGGCGAATGTTTAGATACTGGAAGTTTTATAGGTGGCTTAAGGCTGGCACAGTGAAAAAGCAGTCCCTTTCCCCATCATCTCATCTTGCATTCTTCTCGTGCGGGAAGCAGAAAGGAGCATGGGTGTTGCCTCTCCTCAGAGGTGGATGTTCAAATACCTGCTGTGAAACCAGAATGCAGGAGGGAGGGGAGAGAACCGCTAACATGAGCAGAATGGAAAACGCGAATGGAAGCACTTCTCACTGCAGACTGGGCCAAATCCAGACATTTGAGAGCGCAAATGCAATTGCATCTTCCTCAGCAGAGCTGTACCTGCTTGCACCCAACACCCTGGGCCTTGGCAAGTCTCTCTCTCTCACACACCCCCCCTTTTTTCCTCTCTAGTAGTTTTGTCACAATACGTAAAACATTCCAAGGAAGGGACGTTTCTCTCTGTGACATTTTTCCTTCTTTATACTTTCAAGGGATTATGTCTTGTAATTTGGTTTGAAGGCAATTCCATTAGCAAACTTGAAAGGTGATAAACCTGTTTTTTTCTTTAACCAAAGAGACTGTTTTTTTGAGAGAGAGAGAGACCCCCACCTGCTCCAGAAATGAAATGAAGTCATGAGTCATGACCGCCAGGCAATGGGGATATGCTGTGGAACTCCGTGTTTCCTTTCTCTTCTTTTTCTTTTTCTCTTTCAAGTTTCTGTCATCATTTCGAGTAGCTATCTTGACAAGCAGAGAAATTCACACTAAATATTGCTGCTATCCTAAACTGTAGGGGATGTAGAAAACTTTATTCTTCTCTCATTATTGTTCACATTGATTAAAATGTTTCAGTGGTGACAATGCAGTGTGGAAATGCTGAGCTGCGTAGTGGGGATAAGT